CTGAAGATCTCTTTTTATGGAGATCTGAGGTGGAGAATTGTGCATATGTTGATGATACCCTGCTTTGTTGAGCAATTTACTTAGACTACAGGGAGCAGGCAGAAACCAGAGCCAGAGGTTAGCGAGGAATATAGTGCTTAAAAGATAGAAAACTCAAAGTAAACTCAGTTACCCCAAGCTTAACTATGTCTGTGCTGAATAGAATTCAACTTTTCCTTAAAGTGCAGATTTGCTGCTATGGAATGCTTTTTGATCTAAGCTGCTTCCAGATAAGCTTTTAGCAATGCTGGCTATGGCTCACTTATGCCTGGAGAAAGAAAACCTGGCACAGTCATTGAGCTCTCTCAATCTCCACGCTTTACTGTTGTAATGAAGTTTCATTGATGTTGCCCTTGGAAAACATCTGCAGATTGTAGTTAGACTACAGTGTCACCATTGGACCATCGTGTGGCAGCTGGAATGCTTACAATCTAATTAAGTAGGCAGTTTGTTTCAAGGTGTTGGTACTGTTAAGGTTATAAATGGTTAACTCAGTGGGATAGAAGGTAGATCAGGATCTACTGGTAACTTTCTGGGGATCTTGTAACATGTTAGGAAGGATTTCAGGCTTCCAATTTTTTTAACAATAGCACCTTTTAAAACAGTCTGCTGAAATCAAGAAAGAAGCAGTTCGGCAGGAGCTGATTTGTCTGTGAAATAATTTATGTGGAAACTTCTAGTACCGAAAACAGCATCTTGGACTGTACATCTTCATGGGCCTAGTAAGCCCCATAAGTCTATGATCTGCTCACTCCTTCCTTGAAGACAATTTTCTGCCCCACTGGCACTGACCATCTCTTATTTTCTGTTCAGCAGCTGAGGTCTTATGCCATGTTCCCAACCTTACCTGAAGGTCAATAAGTAGCCTTGCAGTGCAGGGCCATTTCAATTCTGTCTTCTGCCTGTAGAGATCCTCCCAAGAGAAGTTGGCTGGTCCTGGTGCTAATTATATATTTTGTTGTGTGGTAAAACTTGTTTCCATAGTTTGCTTTCATGGTATCGTGACTGTTTTGTGCTGGGTAAGCTTCCCTTTTTTGCTGTTACAGTATCCCCCACCACTGCCACACACACTTTCTTTGTGGATTGGTTTTTCACCCAGTGTTAAACTGTTAATATTTTTGTTGTTGGTGTTTTGTTTTTCCCAGTCGCGTTTACTGTTTTTTAAGTTTTCTGCTTTAGGGTTGCAACTTGAAGCTTCATAATGTGGAACTACCAACAATGACATTTCTTTCATCTAATTTCTTAAGCTTCTTTACATAGCTGTCAGAAAAATCCTAATTAAGTCACTTAACAATATAAAGCAGTCTATGTCTATCTAGAAATAAGTCTCATTTAGTTCGGTGGTATTTGCTCAAACCTACTTGACTTGCTCCAGGGTTCATGGGAAGATTTACTTAACAACATTCTTTTAAAATCATTAGAATTAAGGATTAACTCAGAAATGGACAACTGTAAGCCAAAACAGTGGATTTGGTTTAGAAGCATTATTGCTTTAATAACTGATTTTTTAATAGCTGCCCATAAAACATTAAGAATTGGTGCCCAAGTTATCTTGTTTTCCTTCTCCACCATCTTTTTTTTCTTTCTGTACTGCATCTTTTAGTTTATAAGCCTGAAGACAGGGACTGTCTAGTTTTGATTCTGTACATATACCCTTTCAGGCTAAATCATGGAATAGGCATGTTTTAGCTGAATGAGTAAAGATATAAATAAATGAAGAGTGTCCATTCTATAGCCTGAGTAACTAGAAAGAATTAGGTTAGGCCTCCTTCCAATCTTCAGAATGTGTGCCAGTCCTGTAAGGTAAAAGAAATATATGCACAGGAGAACTATTAAGTCACACCTTGGAAAGAAACTGAAATGTTGAAAATACAGCTGTACTTTGTACTGAAAAGCATTAAGTCATTATCATAAGAACATGAATTGAAATCACGTTTTTCTAGAGTAGCCTCTGTATGCAACTGTTTTTTGTAAGAATGACCTGATGTTGTTAAATTGTCATTACAAAATATCCAGTTTCCCACAGAGAGAGAACCAAAGGGAAAGAAATTAGCAAATTTCAGTATGATTTTCTAATTGCTAATTGGCTTAAGGAAAGCAAAAACCACCAAGCTGATTGGAAACATCCATCTCCAGCCAGATCCAGACGCATGTTTATAATAAGAAGAGCAGCCAAGACAAATAAAGAACAGAATTGTGCATCCTGTTGGCATTGTGTTTTGGCATTGCTGTATCTGTACAGAAAAGAAGTGATACATGAAATGTGTAAAGACATCTGTTTCATAACCTATGGGGCTTTTCTTGCAAAGCAGTTATAAAATCTTCAGGGGGAGAGAAATATTTCTGTATATCTGTGCAGATGCTCTTTTGTTTTAAAAAAAATCATTCAAAGAAGGCTTTAGAAAAAGAATTTGTCCATTAAATCCATGTTTGATATTCCTTCTGTCTTTAGTTTAACAATAATTGACTAGCATCAAGTTATCGAGTAGCTGACCCAGTTCCTTGCAAATATACTGAGTTTCACTCATTGTCTTTGGAAAAAATCAGGGATATGATTTCCATTCATTTTTTTCACAAATGCATTGAAAGGATTTTTAGGACACCACAGTAGATTGTGGGGGAAGAGTTAGGAGATAATAAAATTTATTATAAAACCATAATTCTTCCATTCTAGTATCTCATTTTAAGAACCAATCCTCAAATCCCCATTAGATGCACAAAACATCCTGGAGGAAAATAGTTATGCTACTATGATCAAGACTCAGGAATTTCCAGAAATGAATGGCCTCAGAATCTAATGACCCTCGCCTACCCATACTTCAGTGGACACTTCATTCCCATCCCAGGCATTTTATCCCAAACTTTTGTGCTACTCAAATCCTGCAGCCTCCAAACAAACAGTGATTGTTTCTTTTCAGGAATTTCTACTGCTCGGGGAATTTCACTTTTTTTTCTTTTTTTCTTTGTTAGATTATCTCCTGCCTTTCCCCCAGAAACTCAGAATGGTCCAGAATTACACATTCCTCTTGTAGAATACAAGAACAGGAATTATTCAACCACTTGCTACTGTAGAGATTTTAAAAAACATATCCATAGTGATATGTAATATACTATTAATGGATGAAGGCTAATGCTTCCACGAGTAGATGTTGTCTTAATGTATTCTATAGTTTTTATTGTTAAAATTATGCCACATTATGCCCTAATCTTTCCATGATTAAAAACAGTACAGTACAAAATGTGTTTCATCAATGCTCCCTACCTTACATTTTAGCACTGTGCTTTCATAGAGATTAAAAGTAACTAATTCACAGCCATTTCATTATTTTAATGAAGCTGTTTCTTAATCCTGCATTGTTACTCAATCTAGTTAGGAATTACATAGAAAATAAGGTAAGAACTCAAAGCCATGCTGCTAATCAGATGTGACTCTAAGGTAATGCTACTTAGAACAAATATAATTCCCTTCATTCTGAGAATATTGTTTTTCAATCCTGCCTCAACCAGACCTCTCTAATTTTTTTTTTTCATGTAAACCCCTGAAAGTATAGTAAGATATAATGGAAGATACAATACAGACGGCACCATTTTGTCATGTTTGTCTTACATGCCAAACACAACTGCTTATGTGGGTGCAATTTTATTCTGCTGCCTTAAAGTTTTGTAGTAAATATTTTATTACTTTACTTTGTTTTTAGCAAAGTATTCAGACAGATACATGTGTTTCACCTTTTTATCCTTGAAATTCCTTGATTTCAAGTGCCTTAATTCCTTAATTTCCAGTGCTTGCTTTTGTTGTAATATTTTCTTCAAAGAAATAGAGAAACATGTTGTGGGTAAAGAAAGAAAGAGAGGTTCCCATGAGTGAATTCTTCAAGCTGCGTGAGAAACAAGATTAATATTTCATTAAGGAGCTACAAAATTGCTGAACAAAATCAGAAGTACTTAATTGAAGCTACAATGAAACTGTTCAATGTTAATTCCCTTTTAAAAAATATATTCACTGTCATCATTTTTGAAAGTAACACTAGAAAGAACTGTGAGAATATTTAAGAAACATTCTCTCCAAGAAATGATCAGCCTATTGAAAAGTTTTATTTAGCAATCCTATGCCATTTTCTTGCGTCAAAAAGCCAGGGTGCATTCAAATGATTTCCAGATGGTCTTTCTTCAGGAAACTTTACAACATAATGCTTATTTTCATCACTTGAAGTGCAGCATGCATTTCTAAGATACTTTTCTTCCAGTGTTACTGTTTTAATGTGACATCAACAAAATATTGAATCCCACAATCTTATATTTGTTTTCTGCTATCTAGGAAAGTGCTCACTATTATATAGAGTAGTGAAAATTTAGCTTCTGATTTAAAGTGCATAATGATGAAACCACAAGTTGTTCTTCAGGTACCAGAGTCACAGTCATATAATAGAAACACATCAGATTAATGAGTAGCTAGTGGAATAATGGAAATATAGAAAGATAATTTTATTCAGTATATTCTTAGAGGAGGACACTTCAACTGATGCCAGCTTTTAATGTTGGTAGTATTAGACATTAGGGAAGGCATAGATCACAAAAGAATGATCAGCCTTTAAATTGCCATCTAAGGAAATTATCATGTTCCAGTTTCCACATCAGTGCTAATCTAGATTGGCTGCCTTTTCTTATACATATTACAATCATGTTACATTACTTGTTTTGAAACACTGGAAGTTATTGAGGGTAGGCTTGAGGCAGCAACCTTTTGATTTTAAATATAGGCTGGAGGACCCTTATCAGAATTGCTTTAATAGCAGGATTCCTGTATTGAGTGGTGAATGTGCTAAATGACATGTGTCCCATTTTATAGCATGATTTTTTTGGTTTAAAAATGAATTGACAAAAGAATAACAAACTATGTTTATCTAGTGAATGTCCCTGAAATACATTTCTTATGTATTAAAATGTTTCCTCTATTACAGGCAGCTTTAAGTGCCTTGAAACAGTTTTCAGAGCATGGACTTGATCCGCTGGAAGGAACTATGAAAGATGGAAACAGTGCATTTGAAAAGTAGGAGTCATATTCACAATATTCTTTTGTACTTTGGTATGATGTACCAAATAGTGATAGTTTTAAAGGAAATGATCTAGACACCTTTAGACATCTCCAGTGTGACCACTTTTGTTCTTCTGGTTGGTAACACTCCCCACCAATACTTGAGGGGCACCTGCTTTTACACTGTGTAGGCACCTACTGAGGAGGCAACTTTTCATCCAGACTTTCTTTCTATGATTGGCAAAGAGATATTTTTAATTTCTTTTCCTCCCACCCTTTTTAATGTGCATGCTTTATATTGATTGTATTCATCTGCATTCTTGTCACTTTAGTATGGTTTTTAAATTTGATTGTAAACTGTATATTTAAAGAAATAACCTTTAGAACATTACTGATTAGTGCTTATTTATAACTTAGGTTCCTCTTGTAGAAAAGTAAAATTTAAATGATAAATCAGTGACGAAGATTTTTTAAGATGGGCTGTGTAGTATATGGAATCTATGATTTTTGAAATAAACATTCTCTTTCTTACTATGTTGAACTACAACTCCCAGTACAACCAAGCTAATGGCTAGAGATGCTTGGAAGTGTACTTAAGCAACATTTAAAGTGTCACAGATTCTTCAACTTTCCTGTAAGTGATGGGGGAAGCCAACAAGATGAAAAGGTTCCATGTATAGCTCTTTTTGTCTTCTCCATAAGAATTTTCATAACAGGGTAGTGCTAAGCCACGTCAGAAAAGTGTTAGCTAAAAGGCAGTTGATGTAGAGTAGCAAAATGTGGTGAGTGATATTCTTCATTATGCACTTCTAATGATGCCAGTTTTGGTGTCCATCTGATTTATGAAATAGATATGATAGTGAAGTCTGTACTGTCACAGATTATACACACACACACACACACACACTGTACATACATACATGCATACAATATATATTTCTATCCTACCTTTCCACCAAAAGACACTCAGAACAACAGATGTAATTAAAACCAATATAAATATATATAAATATAGCAATGTAAATGCTATATAATGGAAATAGGCACTGAAAAAACCTTCTTCTATATTACTGCTAACTTTGCAGAACAGGTATACAGGGAAATTGTATAGATGTAATGACCTTATATGGTGTTATATCCCAAATGAATAATCCAAATGAAAGCCCTTACTTTCTTCACTTTTGGATCTATTATTTCAATTGTGTTGTTCTTTTCTTTTTCTGCAAATGCAGATAATAGAAACAGTATGAATTTACAAATTGATTAATTAGGAAAAAGAGTCACCAGATTATTCAAGCACAGGACATGATGAGATAACTGGATGTTATTCCTCCTTTTTTTGAATCTGCATTGTCAGGCACAAATTCTTAGAAAGTGGGCGTTGCAGGGGAAAACAAGAATTGGATCGGAATTTTCAATGGATATGTAGTATCTATCTTAACTAATTTAATCAGAACCATTTACCACATGATCTCACCAACATAGTATCTGAACATAAATATTGTTGTTCTACTTTAAAATGTCTCCCCTTGAGGTGACCTTTAAATCTCATGTGCCATTTGCTAATAAAAATGTCTTGAAGATGTGCAACCCTGGACCTTACTGCTGTTGTTAATGTATTAATCTTTCAGAAAAGTCAAGCATCTGGGAGAAAACACAGACAATAAGCAGACAAACTCAGGCATGATTGCTCAGGGCTGCAAGGATTCAAAGGCCATCATCTAGGAACTTCCCAGCACCCGTGACAGCCACTGCATCCTTATAAACCTGTCATCAGGCAATCTGAAGTATATGTAGAAAGGAATGAAATCAATTACTAATGCCATTATTTGAGTCTTATGTGAAGACAACACTATTCTAACATGAGATATAATATTCATGGTACTGTTTATGAGCAAGAGGAAAAGAAAGAAGATACTGACATTTTTTCCTATCCATACTGAAAAAAAATAAAAATTAATTATTCAGACTGTTCCAGAGGTAGTGAAAATCAAATTTAATAAGTGGAGTTTTAAACAGCAGGTAATTAACTAGACTTGATCCTGAAGGCTGGAGGAAGTTAAGTTTATACTTGAATAATACTCCAGAGAAAATTAGAAGCCAACATTGAATTAAGTTTACTTTTCTGTAATGTAGAACAAATTCAGCTTTTTTGGTTTAAAAAAAAGTTAATATTTTCAAATTAACCAAGGGTAGTGCTGTGATTATTGTAGCTGTTTTCATATAGCTTCTGTTTTTATGCCAGCATTTATGCATTCTTCCTACTCTTACATTATGGTTGTAAAATGCACTTTTCCAAGTTGTTGCAAACTGAAATTTAGATCATGAATATTTGCTTAGATATTATTGACTAGTCCTAACATATTTCAGGAGAAAACTGTGATGCTTTTTTATTTCCTTTTCTGTTTATTGACTGATGAAATACTTTCTCTCCTTAATTCTGCTCTCCATTGTGTGAAATACATTTATACTTTGTTCTGTGTTTTGTGTTGCCCCCCCCCCGCCCTTTGCATCAATTGAGTGTTTTTAATCACTGCATTCTGATCAAGAGTGGAAGTGGATGGAAATACAATCCATGAAGTTGTTTAAAACATTCTGGAATGGAGCTATACAGTATTAAATGCCAGCATTGGTAGAAGGGGAATGTGTCCTTATATTCTGTACCAGCATATATGAATTAAGTATACAGCCAATGCAGTAAAACCATCTCAATCCATGTATACAGCAGTTGTGTCTTCTCTTCCTTGACTTGTAAATGACCGAAATCAGATAAGTCATATATCACCTGCATTAACAGCAAGAACCCAGTTAGACTGTACCTTCTACCATGCAGCTGTCTGCAATGGAAGTGATGTCCTCTCTTATTCTGGAGACCTACTTTTTACATGGCATTATCATGTTCAGATATTGTTTAAAAACCAGAGCAAGAAAAATGTGGATGAGCACATTTGCTGAACAAAAAAACAGGTAAAAACTACGAAAATATATATTAAGAATTTCCATGAACATAAGCTATCAGGGTCATCTTCAGGGGGTAGAGTTAGGTTTCAAAAAGTCAAGATGGCATCCACAACCGTGCCATCCAAGCCCCATCCCTTTATTACATGTGTTGTACATGCTTGATAAGATGGACAGCCATATAAATTAGATTAATAAATAAATACAATCCATAAAGTTGTTTAAAACATTATGCAGCAAAAGTGCAGCGATGCGGACGGTTTTGAACCCCCCAGGGTGGCACATATAACACCTCTGTTGTGCAAGTGCATTGGTTGCCTGTTTGCTTCCTGGTACAATTCAAGGTGTTGGTTATTACCTTTAAAGCCCTTCATGGCACAGGACCAGGTTATCTGAGGAGCCGTCTCGCCCCCATTATATCAGCCCACCCCACTCGGCCCAGCAGAAGGGTCATGTTGCGGACCTTGCTGCAGACCTTGCCAGTCAGGGAATTTCAGCTGGCGGGGTCTAGGAAGAGGGCCTTTTCTGCCATGGCCCCTGCCCTGTTGAGCAGCTTACCACCTGAGGTGTGGGCTGCCCCCACTCTCTTGGCCTTCCGAAAAAGTGTGAGAACATGGCTAGGCCAGATGGCCTGTGGGCTTGATGGGGGCTCGCGGTGTTGGAATTGACTAGTGGGATGATCGATACTGCTCCCCCCATTG